TTTAATATTATAAATTTTACAAAGATAATAATTAAGAATTCTGTTAGAATTCAATGATTATCCTAATTATATTTTAGATTTTTTATATTTAAAATAAGATGTTTATCCTATATTTGATTATGTTTATCTGCATTTTAGATACACGAATTCAGATATGAAGCTTTAATAAGTTGTATTTACACATAATCTACTTGCAATCTTGAGTTTTAAGTAATATGCATTAATAAACAATGTTTTACGCATAAAAAGTGATTTTTAAGAGTTTTTGTTATATGTTTTATAATATAGTATAGATAATTTAATTTAGATTTATAACAAAGTAATTTATATTTGGTTTAATAATATAATTTTTTATAGAGATAATATTATAATTCAATGATTATTTTAATTATATTTTATATTTTTTATATTTAAAATTAATGTTGATCCTATATTTGATTATGTTTATCTATAGTTAGTTACACGAATTTAAAAATAAAACTTTAATAGGTTGTATTTACGCAAAGTTACTTGTAAAATTGAATTTTAAGTAATATACATCAATAAACAGTACTTCATGCATAAAAAATGATTTTTAAAAATTTTTATCAAATATTTTATAATATAATATAGTTAAATAAATAAAATATTTTAATATTATATTGAATGTTGGATTCTTCAAAATAAAGAATTTTTAAAGATGATTTTTTTGTTGAAGATTTCAACTTTTAACTTTTTATTTGTGAGAAACTTTAGGCAATCTGTTGAAAATTTCAAAATCTCTCTTTCTCTTTGACACTTACGAATGAGGCCCTATCGATTCGTATTACGCAGAAGAAATCAATTATAGATATTAATGCAATTGAACAAGGCGTGTTTTCTAATAAGCGAATTCATTTAGGAAAGTTAAAGGCTGGTTTGGGTTGAATCGAAAGTTTGATTCTAAAAATGTCATTCAACGGAAAGTACCTTATCATCATCTTCATGGTATATATGGGAAAGGATAGAGCACATAACATAGGCCAAGGAAAACCAGAAGATGGCCTCCTCCTCTGCTTCCACTTCGGCTACTCTCACTCTGTCATCGATTCATCTCACCCAAGAACCAAAATCATCCCTCATCTCCTCCTTCACTTTCAAACCTAACTCTAAGACCAAAACCCTGGTTTTACAATCCCAATCAGAATGCATTAGACCCACCATTTTGAAGTCCGGTTTTGTAGGTTATGCTTCTTCCAAGAATTCCCCATTTTTGGTTTCTGCGGTGTCTGCTGAAGCCGAATTGGATGAAGATGTTGATGAGGAAGTCGAAGGTGGCGGTGTCGCTACGGCCGCTCCTCCTTCCTCCACCAAGCCTAAGAAAGGAAAAGCTGCTTTGCCTCTTAAGAGAGACAGGGTATGTTTATATTGAATTTGTTTTCATTCCATTGTTCTGGGTATGTCGCTTGATTTGGGTAAAGGATTTCGGATTATTGAACCCTTCGTCACCCAAAAAATAACCCATGATTTCGACATTGATTTTTTCCAAATTTCTTCTCAAAAACATTTTAGGTTATTGTAGTTCGTTTATATAATTGAATGTATGTTGATAATTGTTACACAAAGACTGGAATTCTTGTCAATTATAATGTTTGAAACAGTTAATTGCACCCCACAAAGTCAATTGTGGACTTCTAATTGAGGTCTTTTTTCATGGATTGATTATGACAAACCCCCAAATGTACTTGTTTGGAATTTATAATCTTGAGAGTTCTCTTTAATCATGCACGCTTGAACTGTCAAATGTTATTTTTCTTATATTAATTTATAGTTTCTATAGTATAACAATGGCCTCTGTAGAATAAACCACCAGCAATATTCAAGGAAAGGGTATATGTATATGAGCCTATGGGAGAAGCTACCAAGTGTCAAGATTGAAATGTGGATCAGTTCCACATTGATGTTATGCGAAATTGCCTTGTGCCACTTCATATCTTAGGTTGTACCTCCTGAGTATGGTGTCATTTCATATCTGGTAGTGTATGTGGTGGAACCCTGCTAGAAGATAAAGAGTTTCTGGTTTTTGAGTTAAAAGAAGACAAAAAAAGAACGTAGTTTGCGACTTCCGTTTGTTTTTATAGGTATGCTTTTGACTTTGAGTTTTGACCTTGTGTGATAAGGGATATAAGCATTGGGTTAAGGGCAACAATCATCGAAGATTTCTATTAAAGCTGATAGGTTGGGTGCCTTGTGTCACTTCAGAATATGTTCACTGAAGTGGAGTGTGATATGTGATGTTTTACTCTTTGGAGAGTCACGGGTTTTTGGAAGTCATAGTGAGGAAGTGGGTGAGACGATATCTATTTTCAAATGGAAGCCGAAAAGCGACATATTGGAAAAGATTTCTTCCAAGAACCCACCCACCTCGAGATAAATTTTCTTTGACCGGATAAACGAAACAAACCTAATATATCTCATTCAAAAGTAGGGTTACGGGGCGGGATGTATGCAGATTGCAGACATGTCCTCCACTCCAAATGGTAGAGCGGCTGTTTCCATGATTGAACTTAAGTGACTTCTTTGATAGCCTGAATGGTAGCACTGGTGATACAAATAGAAGCATCCTCAATGAATTAAAATTTCTCATGGCTTTCAAAGAGTGCACAGGATTCGCATTCACCCCATAAGTTCCAAATAATTGCAAGTTTCAAAGTCCAAGGAAGCATGGTTGGATCTCTTAATGATTGCAATGAATTTTTAGGATTGTCGCGTGTGATTGCTTTAAAAGCATGGTTGGACTTTTGCAAGTCTCCTTTATAAGAAAGACGTATATTACTTCAAAAGCATGGCGTAGAAGTTCTCATTATTACTACCATCATAGTTGTAGTTGGTTCTATATTGCCAATTAAGCTATAAAGCTTATGGACTTTGTACTGCCCTCTCTAGAGGCAGCAATTTCTTTAACCGTAAAGTTTATGATAGCCAATTAAGCTGCAAAGTGTAAGGATTTTATACTGCTCTCTCTAGCAATTTCATTTGCTTTAGCTTAGCGGGTAAGAAGTGGTCATGGGTGGATCCAACTTATGGGGGTAGGGGCGTATGCCCCCAACCAAAAGTCGTAGAAGTTGTGATCTTCTTAGAACCCCAATTCTTGTATTTACTCCAACCTTCTTACATTGATGCCCCCAGCCTTCTTACATTGATGCCCCCAACTTTCTTTGAATGACTCACTCATTGCTCCCTGTAACCCACTCATTGCTGTTGGTGTTGTAACTCTTAGCAATTTAACTTTTTTTTATGGTTTCGATATTTAAGACTGACGTTTTTTGCAATATAGTTAATTTTGTCATGGAATGCATTGTTTGCTGCCGTTAATGATGTCTTACTAAGGCTTTTGGAATAACTCGAAAACCAGATGACCAAAAATGTTTTAACCCGAACCTCATTTGATTCGGATGGATTATTTGACATTGGATTTATAAAATACCCTTTAAAAAGTGTGCCCCCGATCCCATGACTTTTTGGATCTGGCACGGGAGGTGGTCATCCTTGCAGAGAATGAATGGGAGGTTTGGATTTGATTCCAGGCACCACCCACCTTCTCGGACACATGATTTACCTCCCCCATAATGGTTCTGGGACCAGCATGGTGGGGCGCTCCAAAGGGTGGCGGCATACCCCTTTCTTGCATAAGAATTTCATTAACCGTGAATTTTGTTTAATTGTGAGCACTTCCAAAAATAACCATGTTGTCAATCGACAAAATTCTCTAAATAGCAGTTGTTCTTCATGGTCACCAAGTTTCTCAATTAAGAAATAATGACATGATTTTTTTTTGGATAGCTCAGTATGTGTTATTGTCAATATCTCTCGAATAGCCTTTTTATTCCATACACTAGAGTTGTAATTGAAGGTGATATATTACAAATCTCAACTGCCCATTTAACATATGATGAGAAAATTGGTTCATCCAATTGACTCATTTCTGTTTTTCGTTATATGGGGTCTGTTTCAATGATGGGGGAAGAAAAGAAGATGAACCACAAGGAAGATGAGAAACAGAGAAAATAGGATAAACGGGTGGAGCCTTACCAAGTTACCATATTCTTCACTTTATCTATAAATTGAATCGTTCTTTCTCCAATTTGTGCGTATCAGACTAGGGCAAAGAGATTCTTGGAAATTCAAAAGCTGAGGGAGGTCAAGAAAGAGTATGATGTGAAAACTGCAGTATCATTGCTCAAGCAAATGGCAACCACAAAGTTCACTGAAAGCGCAGAAGCACATTTTCGTCTCAACATTGACCCAAAATATAACGATCAGCAGCTGAGAGCAACAGTGAGTTACTTGAAATTTTAGTTGGCGTTCAATATATCCCTCCTTAAACAATTTCTGATGTTTCAAATCTTTTATTGTAGGTAAATTTGCCCAAGGGAACTGGGCAGGTTGTAAGGGTGGCTGTTCTAACTCAAGGTTATATCTCTTCTCATCTTGTTTACACCCAACCATTTTATTTGATGGATATTAATTGGTTCAGCTTGGAATACTCTTGAAAATATGATTTGCCCTTGTGGCCATACTCCAGGCCTTCCGTGATCATTTGGGGGATTAGTCGGTGTGCGTAAGCTGGCCCGGATACCCATGGTTACCCATAAAGGAATATATGCTAGCTCAATAGCTCATAGCCCCATCATTTCTTTGGGGTGTTTTCAAGTTTGATCTTTTTTGTGGAAAGTTTTCACGTTATAGTTGCCTATTTTTCTCATTGCAAAGAATTGATTGTGTTTTGTGTGCCTCAACGAGATTGTTTTATTTTGTCATTATGGAAGGTATTTCCTAAAATTACGTGACAGAGTCGAAAGATGCAACTTTCATGGGACAAAAGTAGTTACGCAAATAAGTAAATAAATTAACTCTGGAATTGATGTATTAAACGCATTCGCAACTGAAAGGGAAATGTTGCATACGAGATAAGATATAATATGTCCCATTCCTTTTATTTTCGAGAAATTTTATGAGCATATGACATTTAAAACATAACAAACACAAAAGTTGTTCATCGATTTCATTTTTGTGACAAGGGACAAAAACTGTATTGAAAACTGTCCAAAAATGGAAATTGTTGCAATTCTCATGATCTGGATGTAGTAGTAAATTGGTATAATTATGAATTATTTTTGGTTATTTCTCTTACGATGAAGATGATCTTAGGTTTTCTTCTTATACTCGTTTGCTTTGAAATAATTTTAACAATTTACTATAAGGGTTTAGAAGTCACTAATCATAATCTCGCTGGATTCCTTTCTAATTGTTCTACTCTACAGGTGAAAAGTTCGATGAAGCAAAAAATGCAGGAGCAGATATAGTTGGTGGAGAGGATTTGATAGAACAAATTAAAGGAGGATTCATGGATTTTGACAAACTGATTGCAACTCCAGATATGATGCCTAAGGTTTCAGTTTTATTATTATTATTTAGATAAGTACTCCCTCCGTCCCAAAATACTTCTATAATTTTATTTTAGTTTGTCCCAAAATAAGTGTCCTCATTTAAAAGTAAGCGTCTATTTTCTTCTGATTCTACCTCTAATTATGAGATGGAGAAAATTTCTCTCTATATTAAGGGTAAAATTGTCTTTTAGTTAATTCAGAAGTGCAATAATTAGACATTCTTAATACTGTGTCTTTTTCATTGTGGACAACTGGACATTTATTTTGGGATGGAAGGAGTACTACCTTTTAGAGAATTTACAGAGAACCCTTGTACCCCTTTGAACTAAAGTGAAGAAGCAAACTTTGAAGCTACCTTTTAAAATAGTCAACCTGTAATTTTTCTTTGTCCCAAAAAGGAGTCCTATTTCAGAATTTAGCCCTAAGATGAATGTCATATTTACTAAATTACCCTTGACTTTCTAGAGAATTGATCAAAGTCATTCAGTTAATTTGTAATGGATCATCTTTATAGTTTTCAATTAAAAATGTCTTGTTTTTTTATGGATTTCAAAGTGGACTCCTTTTTCAAGACGGAGATATTTCATTTGTCTTCAAGAATGCCAATTAAGCAGAAAATAATGAAAGAGGAAAGTGCAAGAGTGCTTAATATAGTATTATTCAATTTTCTGCTGAAGTGATCTTGATGCGTAATGCTATATATCTCAAATATGTGTAGGATTATACAACTCATGATATTTGGTTTGTTTGAAGGATCTTGAACTTCTTGACACAAATGAGCCTGTGGCATGCTTTCATGTGTATCTATAGGTCAATATTGGCTGGCAAAGGTGTGTTATGAGAATGATTTGTTGTAAATGAATTGTTTGTGGATCAGGTTGCCAGTCTTGGAAAGATTTTGGGACCGAGAGGACTGATGCCAAACCCTAAGGCTGGAACTGTTACAACCACTATACCTCAGGTAAGATATAATCAGCACATAGTTCACATGATAGGTACAGTTCTTAATTGTGGACATTGTGTTGCATGTATTCAGCTTCTGACATATATGTATGTATATATATATATATATATATATGTTCGTGTGTGTATAGAGTTATATATATAAGTGTGTGTAGAGGGTAGTGCCATAGTGGTATTTAATAATCTCACAAGTGCCTAAGAGCATCTCCAACGAATTTGCTATAATTTCTCTATAATAGACAAACAAAAGTCAATCTTCAACAACGAAGACAATTACATTTAACTCCAACAGTTTGTCCATTTTAGAGATTCTAGCATTGATTATAATATTAAAAGGCTGGGACTATTACAACTACTATACCTCAGGTAAGATACCATCAGCACATAGTTCACATGATAGGTACAGTTCTTAATTGTGGACATTGTGTTACAAGTTTTCAGCTTGTGATATATATATACATATATATATATATATGTGTGTGTATATATATAAAGAGAGAGAGACAGAGAGAGACTCGGGTTCAAAGGAAAACCACAAAAAAGTGGAAAATTGAGGAACACCCTAATAACTCTTCATCGGTACGGCATGCACATGTGCATAAAAGTAATTGAAAATCTTTCTTGGTTTCTATGCATGTGTTCATTTTATGCACATGTGCATGCCGGACAATTACGTTTATGTGCATGTGCATATGGTACATACAATGGTCATTAGGATGTTCCTCAGTTTTCCAATTTTTTGTGGTTTCCCTGAACCCTATATATATATATATATGAATGTATATGTTCCTCAGTTACATTCATGTGTTTATGTATAGAGGTTAGTGTATTGAAGGTATCTCACAAGTGGAAGAGGCCTATTTACACCCGTGTAGGGCCCACTATGTAAGTGTGAATGGAGCTTGTGTACGACGGGACCTCTTGTTTCCTTTAGTATTTGTTTTGCAAGCTGGTGTCTTCACAGAAACAACCTTATACTGTACCCTCAGGACCTACATGTAGAGGAAATATTAGCGTACATCCTACCCTGACCTCATCTCAGTGTGGAATTTACTGGGTTTGTTTGGTTTAATTCGGAAACTTGACCATATTGTACTTTGCAGACCATAGAGGAATTTAAGAAAGGGAAAGTGGAATTCAGAGCAGATAAAACAGGAATTGTTCACTTGCCATTTGGGAAGGCCAATTTTTCAGAAGAAGATCTTCTAACAAACCTGATGGCTGCAGTGGTATATCACATCATTCCCCTTCTGGAAGCTTCCTTTTGTTTTAATTCGTTCGTTATTAGTACCTAAAACATTGTTTCTTAATTTGGCAGAAATCAGTGGAATCAAACAAGCCAACTGGCGCAAAAGGAGTATATTGGAAAAGCGCGCATATATGCTCATCGATGGGGCCTTCAATCCGGTTAGATATAAAGGACATGCTTGATTTCAAGCTTCCATAGGATGTCTAAAGAATAACCATAGAAGATGTAAATTGAATCATCATCTGCTGCTTGCTTAATTAGCTTCTTGAGCTCTGTTCTTGAAAAAGGAAAGAGAAGTAAGGTCACATGGTTGATAGAGAAGTAAAAGAGCAAGAAAGCTGTTTCTTGGATCATTAGTGTTCTTCCTTTTTATGCCAATTCAACAAAACATTTGCAATTTGTATGACTTATTCTGGTTGAGAGTTTTTTTAATATTGGCTTTCCACACATAGTTGGATATGTGTGTGTTTTTGGAAAATGTGGTATATCATAGAGATGGGGCAAAATAACCTGTCCTGCCCGGACCGATGACAGGACCAGGCTGGATCGTTCACCAGATCATACTTTTTAGGACCAGTCTGCGCCCATCGTTGTACATGGTACATATGTCTTCACGAGGTTTTTTGGAAGTACATGGTACATATGTCTTCGTGGTTTTATTTTTGTTATGCATATGATATTTTGCCATAATTTTTGTTAAAAAAAGACTGTTAAATTAGGATAATTTTAAAAGTAGATTTATATTTTTTTTAAATAAGTTAAAATGTTACACCCTAATTAATTTACATCAATAAATAAATTTAAAGTAACACAAAATAAATAAATAGCAAGTTTATATCATAATAGTTGTATATAAAATCAACATATTTTTTTCAAAATATGAGTAAAATTACTTTCATGGTCCTTGTGGCTTACTGGTTGTTTGATTAAAGTCCAATACATTTATTATCTTTCCTGACACTTTATGTAAAAACACACGTTTTAAGTCCCTCCTCTTAACGAAGTTGAAAGATTCCGTTTGCTCAATTAAATAAAGACATATTACTACGGTGTATCCTCTCGTGCATTTTGAGTAAATGTACCTATCGGCCCAATTATGTCTGAACCCAAAAGATGTGACGGTCGTATCAAATCTTTCGTGCCACTATTTAGGAGCTTGTTTTAACCCGTATAGAGATTTAATAAGTTTACACACTTTATTCTTTTGTCTAGGTACTACCAACCTATCATGTTGTTCCATATAAACCTCCTCGTTTAAATAGTTATTCAAGAAGGCTGTTTTCACATCCATTTGATAAATATACAGTCATTTTATGGCTGAAATTGCTATAAGAGTTCAAATAAAACTGATTTTAGCATCTGGAGCGTAGGTGTCGAAATAATCGACTCTCTCTTTTTGTTTGCACCCTTTAGCCACCAATCTAGCCTTAAAGGATGATATTGAACCATCATCGTGCATTTTCCTTTTGAATATCCACTTGGAACCGAACGGGTTTCACCCTCTAGGCAAATCAGCCAATAACCAAGTTCTATTTCCCAATATGGAGTCCATTTCATCATTTATTGCTTCCTTCCACGGTGGAGCATCCCTTAAAGTCATGGTCTATTTATATGTCTTAGGATCATTTTCAGTATTAATAGAGAAAATGATCGCTCTTATCACTTTCTTTTGTGTCCCTTCTACCAAGTACGAGAAAAAAACCATTTCCTAGATTTTTCTCTTTTCTCGCTCTTGTACTTCTTCGTGGTTCGTCAACCTTATTTAAGGTTTTTGAACTATCACAAGATGAACAAGAATGATTAAAGGCCAATGTTGATTCTGATCTTTCAGCATCTTCTGAAGATCTATTTTCAAAGAATTCCACATTCCTGGATTCTACTATATTTCCTGATTCTTTGTTCATAATCTATAAGCCTTGCTATTTATTGTTTATTCAACGAATATGTTCTTAACAACATAAGCTTCTAATTTAGATCTTTTTGGATCAGGGGTTCGATAGTAGGCAATACAGCCCCAAACTCCGAAGTAGTTCAAGTTTGGTTTCCTTCCTTTCCAGAGCTCATATCGGCTAGTTGGAATCACATGACTAATGATTCAATTATGAATATGGCAAACAGTTAACAGAGCTTCTCCCAAAGATTGATAGGCAGGCCTGATTGGTTCAACATACAGTTGACCATTTCGATAAGGGTTCGGTTCTTTCGTTCTGCCAAACCATTTTTTTGAGGAGTAAATGGTGAGATGCGTTCATGTTTGATACCATTTTCTTCGCAGAATGTGTCGAACTCTCTATTGAAATGTTCACCATCTCTGTCTGATCGAAGTATTTTGATTCTTTTTTCGAGTTGATTTTCGACTTCATCTTTATATAACTTAAATGCTTCAAAAGCTTCATCTTTTGAGTGTAATAAATAACCATGTAAAAACCGACTGAAGTCATTGCAGAATGTAATGAAATATTTTTTTATCTCCTCGGGTAAGTATTCCATTCAGTTCACAAATATCGGATTGAATCAACTCTAAAATTGATGTGTCTCGTTTAACTGATGGAAAAAGTTTCTTTGTAAATTTTGATTATACACAAGTTTCACATTTTCCAAAATCTTGGTTGTCAATTTTGATTAACCTTTTATTTTGCATTTTTTTCAATATTTCTTACATTTGTATGAGCAAGACGTTTATACCACAAAGAAATATAACAAACAAAATAATCCACAGAATTAACTTCATTAATAACGTTGGGAATTACATCAATTGTGGAAATGGAAAATTAGAAACTTCATCAGATGAGGCTAACACATAACTGCCTACTGACTCACTAGGTCTGGCCTCCTCATTATCATCCTCACTCAGATTCAGGCGATACATACCCAGCTGGTAGTATCCCTTTCCAATGAAGGTCTTCCTCTTGTATATCACGAGCTTTCTTGCCTCAAAAACCCGTTTTCATTGAGCTTGCTTGCAGAAACGAGGCTCTTGTTGATAGAAGACATGTGATGAACATCTCGGAGAGTGACGGTCTTGTCGGAAGTGAATTTCAGTAGTACGATACCCATTCTAACGACATCAACATGACCGTTGTTAGCTAATATCACTTGTTTGTCATCTCGGACTGGTCTATATTCAACAAACTTAGACCTGGAGTCACAAACATGAATAGTGGCTCCAGAATCCAAGTACCATCCTCCTCTTCCGGCGACGATCCTTGTCGAGGCCTCTGAAACCATATCAATCTCCTCCATATGAGATTCGCCACAAGGTGCTGAATTCCTTCAATAGAGTTAGCAGGTGGTTCAGACTTTTTGTGCTTGCATTCACAAGCATAGTGTCTCGTCTCTCCGCAAACGTGACACTTTCCGACCCTTTTGAAATGTTGCTATGAATTTGATTGATGTCCGGATCTTTTAAAGCTCTTCTTTTGTGGACTCAAGTTCTACTTTTTATTTGGATCTCCGACCCTTCCCTTACCCGTGCCTCCAGCCTACACGCTGTTAGCATTCAACAGAGATTTGCTCTCTTATCCTGATTACGTGCCTCTTCCTCAATTCGAAGATGTTTTAGTAAATCATCCAAAGATAATCTTCGGATTTCTGCATCATTCTTTTTGAAAAATCTTTCCAAGATGGGGGCAATTTATCTATGATTGCCCCTACTTGGAAAATTTCAGGAATAAGTATGGAAAGCGACTTCAGTTTGTTTACTAAAACTTGGAGCTCATGCATTTGCTCCAGAGTCGGTTTATCATCTACCATTTGAAATCTCAAATACTGGCATACAAGATATTTATTTGTACCATCTTCTCGTGACTTATATCTTTACTCCAATGCTTTCTAAAGTCCTCTTGGACACGTAATTAGGGAATACATATCATACAGCCGATCTGACAAAGGCATTTTTTTTATATGTCAACAAGCAAGGGTTTCTTCTTGCTTGCGGATTATTCTCAGTTTTTCAAGATCGGCTATTCTCTATCTATCCGGTTCTTTTCATGGTTAAGATTTTCGGGAATGAGAGGGAGGTTAGGATCCAAACCATAGTAAAGTTTTACAACCATCAACATGAATTTAATTTTGTCGTTTCAACGGGTATAACTGATCCCGTCGAATTTCTTGAGTTTCATCATGTCTTGGTTTAAGATTCGGTAATTTATGGAGTCCATTGATATAAAACCTTTAAGATTGTTGAAAAAAAAAATCAAGATTGGATAAATTAAACAATAAAGTTTTAATCTTTATAAACAATTTTAACTTGTTAATCTAAAAGACTATAAAAATTAAACTTTTATAAATAAAAACGGTAATTTTAATATCTGAAATTCAAAAACTCTTCAAACCGATCAATACCACACAAATTGAATCTATTCTCCGTGATAGATTCAATGAAAGAAGGGAGTAGAAGCAGAGTTGTTCACTTAGTGAACAAAAAATAAATACAGTACACGAAAATTAAAACCCAACCTATTTAAATCGACGTTTAATCAGAATCTGCACGGAAAAACATGTCCTTAAAGGTTTTATACGACCACTCTTATATGTTGTGAGTCTACTGGTCGCAAAGCCCCAAAATTTGATGCAGCATTGAGTTTCGTTTATCAACAACTTTGATAACGAAAACGAAGACAAGGTGGATGCAGAATTGATGGTAGTTTCTTACTGATTGAAGAAGGAAAAACGAGAGAGAGAGAGAGAGAGAGAGAGAGAGAGAGAGAGAGCACACGAATTTTGGCAGAAGTTTGAGAGAGAGCAAACGATTTTTTGGTGTGTGATTTAAGGTGGTTTAACCCAATATTTATACTGGTTAACACCCGATGATCACGCCAAAATTCCCCAAAAATCAAGATCAGATAGAAACCAGGTCTCTAACTGATTTTAACACGTTTTTATAAAATTGATTTATCCGATTTTCGGTTTATAAAACAGATAAACCGTAAATTCCTCAAACAGATAATTATATCCGATGTGGCGTGAGAAGTGCAAAGTGCGCCTTCCCGCGCCACTTTCGCAAATCCCGCATCCTCAACCACGGCCACGCATGTGTGTATTGGACTTTCCACTCATGACCCCCACCATGAGTCCACCAAGAAGTTCAAGGCCCAATTGAGATGAAAACCTTGTAAGACTCTCTAAGGGACTGTTTGACAGTTGCTGAATGATTTAATTTAGAATAGTTAAGAGGTCAAAATGGTTAAGTGCTGAATGAAACAAAGTTGTTCGGTAATTGTTCTCTGAATGACAACAAATTACCATTTTAACCCTGGTAATTTAGTACTGAATAAACCAACATACAATTACATCGGGTGCAAAATACAATCAATTCTAAATGGATATATAGAAAAGATGTTGTTTCTTCATATCAGTATCAAATCCTCAAGAAATTGCAAAATGTCGGTAATCCAATCATCATTAACATTGTTACAAACATGAAATAAGCAATAAACACCATCAATTTCCAAAGAGAAATGCTAAATTCCCTAAACCAAACCCTAGACTTATCGAAAACACGTACTGTACAATTCATCAAGATAATCAGAAATATGAATAAGATTAGATGAAGAAATATGAACTTACTGCCATGATTCGTGTAGGTTGAACGAATATCCGCCGTGGGTATGATCCAATGAAGTCGGAGAGGACGCAGCAGCAAGGAGGCTGTGGAAGGTGGAGAGGACGCAGCAGCAAGATAATCAGAAATATGAATAAGATTAGATGAAGAAATATGAACTTACTGCCATGGTTGACTGGGTTTGTGGAAGGCAGCAAGGAGAGGACGCATCAACAAGGAAGCGAGATCGAAAAACTTACCAGCAATAAGGAGAGGACGCATCAGCAAAGAGGCTGTGGAAGGCGGCCGGACGACGCAGCAGCAAGGAGGATGTGGAAGGCGGCCGGACGACACATCAGCAAGTCGTGGGAGGCGAGATTGAGTGGAAGGAGGAACGAGTCATGGGAGGCGAGATCGATGGAAGGAGGAACGATCGTGGCTGGAAAGGGTTGAGAGGGAAAAAATGAAAGAAGATACATTTGAACCATTTAGGAGCCCCCTAACCCCTAAATCGTTAAGAGGATTTTGTCATCATTAAGAGGTTCTTATTTTTTTGCCAAACAGCTTATACCTCTTATCGATTAAGAGGTTTCCTCTTAATGTCATCATTAAGAGACAACCAAACAGTCCCTAATATTTTTCTACCTACCAATATGGAATGGAGGATAAACTTCTAACCTCACTTACATTCCCAACATGTGTCTCCAACATCAATGACGGAGACAAAGTCTCTAAGTTTGTGTTGTGTTGTGTGTGTATATGTATTAAAGATAATATAAAAGTAATAAAAGATACATATTTAAAAAATATATTAGAAAAAGATAAAAAAAAATAACAAGACAAAAATACCCCCACGAATTAACTGGATTAACAGATTTCGTTAGAAGAAAGAACCATATGTTCTCTCCATATCATAGGTATCAAGAATGTAACAAACGCATCAAAAAGACTTTGGGGCCGTTTATCAAACACTTACCCGATAAATGCTTACCGGTAAAATTTAACACTATTATGTACTTACCGAGTAAGATTTTAGTCCACCAAAACGACATAGTATACAATAATTTACCCGGTAAGCATTTACCATGGTAAGAGTCGTCGTCCTCACTTACCGGACAAGACTCTTGATCCTTGTCTCGCTCTTGCCGGATAAGATTCTTGGTTCTTACTATATTCATCCGAAGATGTAACATTACTTAATAAGCACTTATCCGAATAAGCGTTTGATAAACGACCCCTTGATAATAACAGCCAATAAACCAGAGTGCCAATGATGTAATTAACTCCTATAATATTGAAAAAGTTAGTTTATATTTAATTAAATTAAATAATAATCATATATAAAAGTCATATGCAGTTTGACGAATAATTTTATAATTAAACTTTGTATAAACGGTTGTAAATATGTTTGATTAAAAAAAAGGGTATGGTTTTGGTCAAAATCATCGATGGTCGAGAGAGAATAAGCATCGTTGCATACGAGTCAAAGCGGCCGCGTCCTTTAAACGCAGCTTTTTGGGCTTACCTATGCTTGCTTAAAAAAATACTCGTATCCACCAAATCCAACACCACCCACCTCTCTCAACAAGATGCAGATATTCGTCAAAACCCTAACCGGGAAGACCATCACTCTCGAAGTCGAGAGTAGCGACACCATCGACAATGTCAAAGCCAAGATCCAGGTTTCATTCCATCACACAGATATAACTTTTTCATACTTGACGTTTTCGTTTTGAATGGTCAATTGTGGATTTTGATACTTCTGATATTAATTCGAATTGCTTCCAGTACTGAAGATGATAGAACTAGGGTTTTGATACTTCGTGATTACTTTGAGTATATTTGTAATACAGAGTTTTTTTTAGGTGGATTTAGGGTCGTATTCGTATCACATCTTGTTTATCTGTTGTGATCACATGTATTTTACTCGTGTCTTGTGTGTTTTCTGTTTAAGAGTATGTCGGCTCGTTTATTTTGGAAAAAGGGTGTATTTTTATGCTTATCGAGTTCTAACGATTCATGTAATCCCTTTTTCAATATTCTTGGTGTTGCTTCGTCAACGTAGTACTCCTGTGAATTCTGTGCAACTTGGAGTAGATTTTGATCATGTCCTATACAAACTATGTTGCAAACAGAGAAATTTTGGTGTAGATGTGTATAAAAGTTGGTTTTTGTTGATATGGTAGTGATGTGTCTCATTTCTCCCGTGCTTCTCTAGGCAGGGACTCACTGTATTCCTTGTTGTAAGGAGGATTAACTACTTTCGATATGCTTTCATCCCTCCTCTCAATTATGTGGATTAATTGCAATGCTCTTGTAAGTTTGTTGCTTCAGAGTAGGTGATAAGCCATGGATTGTTTGCATTTTGAAGGACAAAGAGGGTATCCCTCCAGACCAACAAAGATTGATTTTTGCTGGCAAGCAATTAGAGGATGGACGAACACTTGCTGATTACAACATCCAGAAAGAGTCAACACTCCATCTTGTTCTAAGACTGAGAGGAGGAACTATGATCAAGGTTAAGACTCTTACAGGGAAAGAAATTGAAATTGACATTGAACCAACTGATACAATTGATAGAATCAAGGAGCGAGTTGAAGAGAAGGAAGGAATCCCTCCGGTGCAGCAAAGGTTTACCTTTCTTATGCTCCACCATTAATCAACTGCATTAAACATTTCTTACCTTTTCGAATGGAAAAAGGGAACAAACAAAAAGATCCATTTTTTAATGATCTGGTGATATCCTATAACTTTTTGGAAGTTCAATTTGTTGCTGATTGGTATGAATTTATAGAATATCTGAAAAGAAAAATACACTCTATATGTTATTAAGGTATTCAAGTAGTATATGTTAATGGATTGATTGTTGCTACCCACCCTTAAGATTTAAGAACTTAATATGAAATAGTTGATGCATACTTAATCTACCTACCTGGAATCAATTTTGGATGCAGTCCATGCATTGCTTTATAGTGTATCCCATATTGAACTAACCATATCCACTTATTAAGATCATCTCAGTTGAACTCACACTGTTGTAGGGTCAAGCTAAGTTGCAAAGTGCTAGCAAAAAAATATCATATACATCTTTTAAATACTATTATACTTGATACATGGTAGCTCTAGACACTAGGATTCTTTAATTTCATCGTAGTTCCAACGAATCTTCTAACAGTTATAATAGTATTGGTCTCTGTGTATCTTTTTCTTTGCTCAGCATTCACCTTTTTAGCGGTACAGCTGAGCAAGTGTTTGCTCAAAGTCCCTTCTTTGTTCTTTGCTCTAAAATTTAGGCAGGATTTCTTTTGGTCCATTGACAACTTCATTTCTTGGACCCCATTTATATATGTTTTGGTTAGAAATAAAGATTTGACAATGGGTATCAATTACTTAATGTGAGGGGAAATAGAGGTGGGATCCACATCATGGAGAATGGAGAAAACGGTTATAAGTAAATGGTACATTTCAAAATTTTGAAATGACAGAAGCTCCTAGGTCATTTTTGGGACTCGAAACAAAATAAAACTAGAAGAATGCAAAAGCCCATGTATGAGGCATGAGTCACAACTGGTTTGATTGACACAAAAATGCTTGTTGGGCTACAGGGTTCAGTGCTGAATTTGAGTGCAAAATGATGAATAAGTTGTTTTGACTATATGTGATATACATACAACTATTTGCAACTAAATTTATAATTAATGGAGTACCAATTAATCATATTGATAACATAAGGATTGGCTAAGACGGTTACCTAACAACTGTCAATTCTTTACTTATCTATCCACAACAGGCATTATTTTTTATAAATGCTACAATGTGACCAAAATAACCCAGCTCCAAAGATGATGCTACTTGATCTTATATCCATCAGCTAGGGAGAAAAAGGAATATTAAACTCTCTGCACTTTCAGTGATCTCTTCCTTACCTTTGCCCTGATTTCAGTCTCAAGTTTCATAACAATTGAACCATTTCAGTATGCACTGAAATCTGAAATATCTTTCTCATCGTCTTGTGGTCATGATGCATTGAACAAGAAGACAAAGAAGAAGAAAATCCAAACACAAACTTGAAACTGAAATCTGAAATGTTTCCCTCATTGTCATGTGGTGATGCCGTGATGATGTATTGAACAAGGAGGCAAAGAAGGAAATCTAAACATGATTTACTTGAAACTGCATAAATATTGAGAAACCATTACTAATAATTTATTCAATCACAAAAGGTGAAACAACCTCAGATTGATATCAAGTGAATATTCAAGAGGGATGATTTTGAGTAAAAATGAATTGCTTCCTCAAACTCCTTTTGTTTTGAACCTGATGCACTTAACGAAGAGAAACACACATTGAGTTGAATTAGTAGATTGTTAGCAATGAGGGTCTCCAATAGAGGTGGCTTATAAAGGATTGGCAGATAGTGCTGACAGCTGCTGGTGTAAGGACTAGAGAGTATGAATAGGGTTTTGATACACAGGTCACAGATGATGACAAGAATAAAGGGTGGAGAGAGAGTATCTTCTTCCTTGCTTTAATCCCTTACCAATATATATTAGTTTTTTGGTATTACTGATTAAAAATTGGGTTATTTTGGTTGAATCATAAAATTGAAGATAGCCTTCTGCCTACATCTGTGAAAAGGGTTTGTAGCTGTAGGATTTGATTTGGATAGTTTTAGATGACCTGACTGTAAATAGATTATATTGGAATAGCATCGTCCTGAAACTAAATCCAAGCAGTATCTAGGTTTACTAGTGTTTGCTAAAGTGATCCCGTGTTGTTTCTCTCTGAATTACCATATAATTTTCTGTGATGAACAATAAGAGTGACTCATTAAAATTGAGAGTAACTTTGCCCTTTCTCTCTCTATGCTATCATTGGTGATGTGACTGAAGGAGTGGAGTGCCAGAAAAAGAGCTGTTTCTCTTTTCAGGTTTCTTTCATGTTAACTGATTGGGCCATTCGAACCTGTTTATGACTGGACTGGCAGAGACTCCCTTGTCATATGAAAGCGATTATAGACCAGTGATAGGCTTATTTACATATAAAAGCGATAATAGATTTTCTTAAGTTTTACATCTCAAAGCAAATGACTTTGGAACAGTGTTCCAAGTGTCAGAGCTATATGGTCAGGTGACCTTCTAGCGCTTAATCACCTAAGTGAGCCTAAACATAAGTAGTTTATATATACTATGATTATCTCCATATTATGTAAACCTATGACAAGTAAACCTTGATTCTATATTATTTTGACACTGTTACTTTTCTAAATGTATAATTTCGTCATGCTACTAATGCGACTCAGATAAGATTGAAATTTTGCTAGCATTATTTCATTTGGTGAAGGGCGCTGATTACAGTTGTGCAGTTCAGTTTACACATTGAAATTTTTGCTAGCAATATTTCTAACCATTGGCATTTTGCATACACAAGGCGCTAAGGTGCTTAGGTCATACCTGCGATCATTTTTGGTTTTGATTGAGTCCATAGTTAGAGTGCTGCAAGACTAACATATATGCCTTATACAAAAACACATGCTTGTACCCGAGTGCAGTCCTAACATGTGAAAGCTTGAGCATGAACTTCAATTCTTATCTTCCTGTCATGCACTAGAAGATATGCAGCAATTTTACTTGCTCATGAAATCAGCAACTCATTTTTTGTCCTTGCATTGATTTAAAATCATGAATTTTTAACTAATTGTTAAGACATACATGTTTTAACTATTGCACCAGTTAATGAAAAGGCTTCTAGAAGATTAGATCATGAATGATGGTACTTTTGTAAGGGTGTTAAACAGCAGGAAATGGGGCTAAAATGAATTGTGTTGGTGCAGGCTGATTTATGCTGGGAAACAGCTTGCAGATGACAAAACAGCAAAGGACTACAACATTGAAGGGGGGTCTGTACTTCATCTAGTTCTTGCATTAAGAGGTGGTGGTAATCTTTAAAAGATGCCTGCTAATGCTATGTTATCAAAGTTTACATAATTGAGCTCACACTCGATGATATATTCCATGTGGGTCCATAATGAGACGTCGATTGCCCCATGACAATGTGATTTGTATTTGTATTTATACTTGAGATTTGGTGCATTTTATTCTGCATTGCTTTTTGAGGGCTTGGAAATATGTTGTCTCCTCTTTTTTATGTTCCCTGGTCCTGAAATCTTTGATGGAGGTGGTTTTTCATGCTATATGTGAAAACAAAAACATGGTGGGTCTTTGCGGATGGCTGAACCAATTGTCTAATTTCTAGGGACCATCGTGATCAACCTACCAGGTGAGCCAGCTATGGCTCATGAAACCAGTTGGTGAATGAGTAGGCTTGCATTTTGTGTTCTCTATGGGTGCATTTGGTACATTGCTCATGACATAATAGAACATAGATCATTGTTCCATGTTTGACAACACTTTTATAGGGAATAGAGTGGAACATGAGTGTTCCACCCCTCCATGGACAAAGTGGAACATATCTACATTTTACCAATATAACCTTAAAATATAACAATTCTTTTTTAAAACGCCGAATACGCTTTTGCTTTACATTCTAATCATTTTTTAAATTTTATTAAATATTAATGAATAAAAAATAATATAGAAAATATATAAAATAAAGATTAAAAACTATAAGTCTTTTATTTTGATGTTATTTTAATTTTTTTGACGAAAACTTTCTAGTGATATATGTTTTAAAAGGAGCAAATTACATGAAAAAAAACAACGTACTTTAACTTGATTTTTATTTTGGGTAATGTATTTTCAAAACTTTCATTTTGGTACCTAAGATGTAAAATTTTAAAAATTTAGGTACTCGGGTAACAAGTTGAAGTATTAACCTGTTACCATGCTAATGTGACGAGTAATGGGATGAAATTGGATTGAATAGTAAATGATACTTAATTGTATACCACATCACTTGACACATCAGCATGATAGCCGATTAATCCTTCAACCAATATCTGAGTACTTAAATGTTTAAAACTTTACATTTTAGGTACCAAAATAAAAGTTCTAAAATATGTTACCCAAAATAGGAATCAAGTTAAAGCATGTTATTTTTTTCATGTAATTTGTCCTTTTAAAAATAATTATTTTATTATAATTTAATAAAGGGCAAAATGCGCAAAATAGCAACCTACTTTCACAAATTTCCTTATTATAGCATTCTACTTTCAGTTTTTCTTATTACAGCAATGTACTTTTAAAATATTTTTTATTAGGGCATTGTACTTTAAAAAATTTACCCATTATAGCATTGAGTAACCTTTTAAATTAAATTTACCTATTATACCAGGTTTCTTTGCCACTTCATCGTCCACGTAGGCTGTACACTTGTACGATAGTGCTGAGATGACATTTTTTATTACAGCATTGTACTTTCAAAATTACTTTATTATAAAATTACTTTACTATTGATTCAGATTTCAGACTTCAACACCATCTTTTATTAATCAAAAGTAAGACTTCGAACTTCAGCACCTCTTAAAAAAAACAAACTATCACCTTAGTTTTGCCTTCTCTTAACCATCGACACAATACCGGACCCCATTACCCAAAACCTACCGACCTCCCATTTATCATGTACACACTTACACACGCCCCACCGAGACCCATCTTACCGGCGGTGAAACCCAACACAAGCTGCACATCAGCTGCAACTATTTTCCACTCTCTTCTTTGGGGTCTCATGTCTTTCAGGTTCTTCTTAAGATTACACCACTACATATATAGACATATATATATGTATATATATGTCGTCACACAAACCCAACTAACAAATAAACAGTGCAGGCGCACGTTGTTTCGAAAAATTAAGTTAACAAAACATTTGTACTTGAAGCCTCACAGATTATCAGAGAAGGAGATCCGGTCCAAAGAATGGTGTTTGTAGTTCATGGACGAGTTAACAGAAGTCAATGGCTAAATCGAGGGATGGTTGCAACGAGCATATTGGAGTCCGGAACTTTCTTCGGAGACGAGCTACTCTCGTGGTGCCTTCGTATTCCATTTATTGACCGTTATCCTGCTGCAACTGCAACATTCACCTGTGTCAAAGCAACAGAAGCGTTTGCGCTAGATGCAAAGCATCTAAGCGATGAGATTGAGTCGATTAGGGTTTAAATTTGATCAGGAAGAAGATGGTGAGAGTCGATTAGGCCAAAGAGGAACACGATGTGTGCGATTGAGGGATTGAGGGATTGAGGGTTTGTGGGTGAATGAACAGTCATCAAGAAGAGGAAGAGAAGGAACTGTCTAAACAATGAGAGGGATGAAGGTTTTTCATTTTCAAAAATTGTTTTTTACATTAATTTTTTTTAAATGACAAGTAGGATATCCATGTGTAACATGTTATCCTACATGGTTTCCATGTCATTTTAAATTTGCCACGTCAACAAAGAAAAACCTGTTCAAAAGGTAACAGGTTACCCAATGCTATAATGGGTAAATTTTTTAAAGTACAATGCCCTAATAAAAAATATTTTGAAAGTACATTGCTGTAATAAGAAAAACTGAAAGTAGAATGCTATAATAAAGAAATTTGTGAAAGTAGGTTCCTATTTTGCGCATTTTGCCTTTTAATAAATTAGATAAATTAATCAAAATATATAAACAACTTATTTTTGATAAATTGATCATTTTATTTATTTTGTTTTATTTTTCGTATCAAATGCAGCGTATATGGTTTGGGACATGTATATGGATCACTAGCAAGCCTTGCAACTAGAGGTGGGCACGGCCATGAGATTGGTTCTCTTTGGTCATTAAACAATCGGTACCTTTAAAACGCAATCGGAAGTTTAAAGCCATGGATCTTTTTAGTATTTTACATAAACTTAACATATGTGAACCTTGTTTTTAATAAAATGTGTGTTTCAAATAAACTTATTGTTGAACATTTATTTTAGGGACCGTTTACCAAACTCTTACCTGGGTAAGCGTTTACCAAGTAACATTACCTCACCGGATGAGTATGATAAGGACCAAGAATCTTAAGGGCCGTTTACCAAACGCTTACCCGAGTAAGCGCTTACTAAGTCACATTATCTTATCGAATGAATATAATAAGAACCAAGAATCTTACCCGGTAACATCGAGACAAAGACCAAAAGTCTTACCCAGTAAGTAAGGGCGATGACTTGACTCTTACCATGGTAAGCGCTTATTGGGTAAATTGTTACATATGATATCGTTTTGGTTGACTAAAATCTTACCCGGTAGGTAACTGATAGTGTTAAATTTTACTGATAAGCACTTACTGGGTAAGTGTTTGGTAAACTGCCCCTTACTCGGTAAGAACGAGACAAGGACCAAGAGTCTTACCCGGTAAGTGAGGGCAACGACTCTTACCACGGTAAACGCTTACCGGGTAAATTGTTGCATACCATATCGTTTTTGTGAACTAAAATTTTACCCGATAAGTAAAATAATAATGTTAAATTTTTACCCGTAAGCACTTACCTGGTAAATGTTTGGTAAACGGCCCCTAAATAATAGTGACTTATTTTAATAATCAAGTATTGAGCTAGAAATTGTTTGATTTTGTGTTCAAAAACCACCAAAGCAAACCACCACCAAAGTATTTAAATCAGACGACGATAAAAGCTTTCTACCTCTTTATCATAAAAGAAAAGATAAACGTTACAACAACCTTACCTTTCATCAGACAAGGCATAAATGATAAAATTGAGCTTAGAGAAGATAATGCACAACGATATCCGATTAAACGAACAAAAAATAATAAAATAGACCCAACGCAATATGCAATACACATTTTCAGTCTGTTATATTGAAACACAACTTTGCTTCATCCCATGGACCATTGATCTCAAACTTGTACTCTTGAATTCTGATCAACCAATAAGGACACACCAAATTAACAAAAACCAGCATCCCCAACAGGAATACAAACAACAATTTGTGCAGCTTGTAAACACAACCCAGTGTCGTACCCATCAACACGAACGAGAACCACAGGTGCAACCGAAAAGAGTACTTCTTAAGACAGTAGGTCACTAATGGCGCAAATAGAAAAACTTGCAAAGAGAACAATATTACACCAAATACAAGAAGTCTTGACGGAAGCCGAGAAGCAATCAAAAGCGAAGCCACAATGGAAGCATTAAGAGAAATATTGCTGGTTAAGGTCGGGCTTTCCAATGCTCCAGGAGCTTTTACGGTTGATCCAGAATAGTTATGCAGGAAAAGATGGAGGATTACAAGTGATGTGGTTAAAGCCAATATAGAATCCGAGCTTATTGATCTGGTGAGTGTGTGATATATTGGAGAAAGGACATATAGACCGGTTGTAAAGAAAGAGATTTTAATGGCATAATTGAGAAGAAGATTGAAAGAAAGCATTTTGGCTGTTAACAGAAGAACAAAGAAGCCCGATCCAAGAAGGGTGACATCAAGAACTAATAGAAACTTTTCAGTTATGGTAGAACTAAGGGTGTAAGTCCAAACCAAAACCACAAGTGCTACAATGCAAAGGTATTGAGAAATGGAAACCGAGTCTAGCATCACTTTTAGCATGTCTCTTTTAACAACATTGGCATTCATGACCATTTCTTCAAGGAAAGTTTCATCAGTATGATTATCATCAAAACCAGGTTGCATGCCTCCATAAGCAACTTTTCTCCATCTCCTTTGTGTTGAAGTGCGTCGAGTGATGCTATTCTCCATTATTCTAACTGTAGAATAAATTTTTTGATATTATACAATCTAGAGGGGAGTGGTAGTTGAAAGAAAATGAACTATCCACCAGAGATCGCAGCATTTCCCCATATCACTTCTGACTGCTCGGACCTAGAAAAGCGAGTAACATTAATTTCCACATTTAAGCAATATTTAAGTTACCACATTTTCAAGAGATAAAAGATTTCAAGAAGCCCAAAAGGCGACCTTTTGATCTCAAAATATCACCTTACTATCTGATTTTACCACTGTACCAAACTTCACCCTAGCTGGGTATATGCTTCTCAATTTCAATAGTGTGAATCAATCAGGTTTGTGTTATTCAAACTTGAGGAGTTCATTAGGTTATGGTTGTAGCAACTAATAGCTGATTATGCATATTAGGAGAAGTCAAGGAGTTCATTAGGTTATGGTTCTACGAGTGTGATCATTTTCTTGTACGACTCTGATCAAACACATGGAAGTGCATTATTTCATAACCGTTCAAGATCTCAACCAACACCAAATAATCAAAACTTCATCAACCAATCGAGTAGAAAAGTTCAACAAATACCGAAGATTTCAAACTAACAACAAATAATCAAAACTTTATCATCCAATCGAGCATAAAAGTTCAACAAATACCAAAGATCTCAAACCAACATCAAATAATCAAAAAAATTATCATCTAGTCAAGTAGAAATCCAACAAATATCAAAAAGAAACTCAAATTACCTAAAAACGTGTTGACTAATCGAACCTCTAATGGGTTGATAATGACATAGACGGAGAAACAGAAAGACGTGGAGAAAGACAGAGAAGCAAATTCTCTCAAAGACCAGATTTACAGAACTGAGATTCCATAGGCCGAAAAGAACTCCTTATAAAGATAGAATTATGAATCTAATGGAAAGTCTATGAGTCAAACCACTGTCTGAAAACACAAATTACCATTGCACAATTTAGGGGCGGAGCCAAGAATTAACCTAAGGTGGTCCTCAAAACTAGTTAAAGGCCGTTTACCAATGCTTACCGCGTAAGAGTGCAGTCTGCGTAAGCGCTTCGGCCCAGTAAGTGCCGACTGAAAATGGTTGTTTACCAAGCATTCTATAATAAGTGTTTACCTATAAAAGAATTGAAATTCTAACTCTCTTCTAGACACAATACCAACAACAAAAACCGAATCACAGAAGCATGGCCTTCAAATTAATAGAACCATCATGCTCAGATCCCAAATATGTACCAAGCTCAGAAATCATACCATTACCAGCGGTACAAGTTAAGCAAACATCAGATCAGAACTATACCACAAGAATTTTAGAGCAAACTAAGAATTTGCACAGATGGGATTGGCGGAGTGCATTGTAGGTAATATCCTCAAGTAAGGGCGGGTAAAAGTTCAACATGTAGCCATAGAACAACGAAAGAAGCATCCCCCGCTGATCAAAACAGACACAATGCCTAAAAAATTCCATAGAATACTAGATAAAAATGGCAAACCAAAAAGTCACTGGTGATACACAGGTACATCATGCCATAGCACGCAACACAGAACTTCAACTATGGTATTCACAATAAATGACCAGATGCTTTTTCAATATTGGTGGTATTTGGACATCAATGAGCTTTTTATGAGATGCAGCAGCAAGATAACAGAAGCATATAACCATATTTCATTGCCAAACATGTCAAATTGCCAATTACTAAGTCTCAAGGAGAGATTTACTTAATCTAATTACCTAAACCCTAAATACCAAATATAAACTTACCGATAGGCCGGAGGCGATACCGTGAGTGTGTCAGTGCATGACCGAGGCAAAACCGCAGAAGCAGGGCAACAACAAGCTGCAGAGGAGCAAGTGGCAGGAACGGATTCGTGCAAAACAGGAGTTGTGACAGAGGCGTGAGCTTTTGTCAAGGGACTGTCCGTCCATCCGTCAAAGGTTGCGGCCTGAGGGTGAGCTTTGGATCGAAAAAACTAGACTACATACAAAAAACTGATTTGGACTGTAATTTTTTTGTTTTCTTTATGAATCTGAGGGTGGCTCTGGCTGAGAATGTTGGCTCCGTCCTTTTGAGTGACTGGAATTACTTCTCCTTAGGGGTTGTTTGACCTGATGCTAAATGATTTTGGTGCATAATAATTAAGTGGTCAGAATGATTAAAAGGTTTTGTATGATTTAGTACAGAATGAAAAAAATGGTTGTTTGGAAAATGCTATGAATGATAAGTCTAAATTACAGATAAGATAATTACCATTCTAATCCTTCGTATAATTTAATACTGAATGAAATGTGGTTGTTTGGCAAGTGTTCTGAATTAATCAAAATTATAATATATTTAATACAAAAAACCATGAGAAGCATATACCCAGTTAGGGTGAAGTTTGGTATGTTGGTAAAATCAGTAAAGTAAGGTGGTATTTTGAGATCAAAAGAAAGCAACCTTTTGGGCTTCCTGAAATCTTTTATCTCTTGAAAATGTGGTAACTTAATCGATAAAGCCGGAAATCGAAGCACGAGAGTGTTAGTGTATATGCCCAAAAGCCAGTTAATTGATGATTTTGTTTGAACATTGTGTCATGATATTTATTAATGAGGGTGGGGTTCACGTGAGAGTTGAGACGAGGCTCCGTGAGACCCATGAGACCACTTTTTACACTTGAAACTTCACAAGAAAACATTGTGAAGGTAAAAAAAATACGAACCTTCATAGCAAAAACACTGTAGATCGAGAGTTGCTTGGATTGAGAGGTAGATTGAGAGCTGCTTGGATCGAGAGGAAGAAAAAGGGATCGAGACCCAGAGCTTGAGGTGTTTAAGATTGAAAGTGAAATCGAGAGCAGAGAGCGAGATCTGGAGAGGCTTCTGAAATTGATCTTAGAGTTAGGTTTTCCACTTTATCTTGCGACTCCAAGAACAAGACAACTCCTGATGATGGAGATTTAACTAATCATATATTATAGATGGTTGGAAAATTCATCAGCCTAATCATAACCTCATGTTTCTTATATTACTCGGATGCCACTTTAATTTATGCATCTTCCTAGGAAAGGTGTGTTATGTTAAGTTACGCATCCTTTATATCATCATTGATTTATCATACTGTGACACTATTCGTCATCATTTACATTTACAAGAAGATCTTTGGTTATTGTAACAATCTGAAGTCAAATAAGCAAAGAGTGGTCTCTACATCCTCTATGAAGGAAGAACATGGAGCAATCATAGACACTAGTTATGAAAACTGCTCATCTTGGCATTCCCTCTTGTTACCTTGTAAAATGACAGTAATTCAATAGCTATGGCCTATAATCAAGTGAAGCATGCTAGAAGCAGATACTTGGATTCTACTTTGTTTAAGAAAAATGCATAGATATATCTCCTTACCAGTCATATTCCATCAGAATATCAATTAAACTTACTTGTCTACAAAGGATTGGGAAGATAGCTTTATTGGAATTTGTTTCACATACTTGTCTATCTAATCCACACACACCATCAACTTTGATGGGAGAGGGGAGATTGAAGAAAGTATATTGGATAAAACTGGACGGATGCAATCTGTCACAGAAGGAAAGTCATATTGGACTCTTGAAAAAACACGTAGGCATTCTTCGGCTGCTCAAGAAATGGAGGGAGGCACTGGTATAAAAAGTAGCATCTTTGTGTACCAAAACAAGAATTTTATACCTGTGGATTCCTTTGCAAATTTACACCAATATCAAAAAAATTAGGCCATGTGAAAGCTGGAATCTGTGCTCTGTTTACTTAGGCAGATCTCTATTGCTTCACTCACTTATACACACATGTTGATAAGATGCATCGAAGTCGAGAGTTGATGGGTATACTTCACATTTAACTTGAGCATAAGATGAACAAACAGTCTGGATGTACTGATTCACAATTTTCCACATAGCTTAGCAAATAGAATGCATCCGTTATACCACTCAGTTCAAAGGAAACCCCAAAGTTGCATTGCAGTTTTCATACAAGTTTTATTCTAATTACAAGATCCACAAGAAATAAGTTCTCAATGCAAAAAATCAAACAGAAGCCAACTTACAGCCAAGGCAAATGAGAAGTTGTAGGTTACTAGGCTGGGTTCACTAAAATCAAACAGAAGCCAACTTACAGTCTATGGCTTGGACAACCCAATAAAGAAGAAACATCAGAACCCATAAAAAATCTCCAGTAAAGAAGAACCATCAAATCGTATATATATATATATATATATATATATATGAAGCAGGAGGTAGAAATCGACATACCTTTTGAATCGATTGCGTGAGAGAGCCTGTGAAAGATCGATTGCTGTGAGATATCGAGCGATTTGGGGACATCGAGTTCGTGAGAGCGAGAGAGAGAGCGAGAGCGTGGGATGCTGCGAGAGCGACAGATCGAGAGAGATGAGTTAGAGGTATTAAGTTATAAAATTACCATTAAAATTTGTAGAGGAAACGCTAATTAAGCTCTTATTTAGAGGTGTTTAGGATTTTTTTAGGGCGGTTTAATAAAAGCTTACCCGGTAATTTTCTTTTCCGGGTGAACATGACAATGGTCAAACATCTTATCCGGTAAGAACAATGATAAAGATGAAGAGTCTTACTCTATAAGTGAGGGTGACGACTCTTATCCAGGTAATCGCTTACCGGATAAATTGTTGCATACGATACCATTTTGATGTACTATAATCTTATCCGGTAGAATAAATTACGGTATTGACTCCTACTGGTAAGCGCTTACCGAGTAAGCATTTAGGTAAACGGCCCCTTAGTTTTTTTTTTAAAAATGTTTATCAACTTATTAGATGTCAAATTAGAGTTTTTATAAAAAGTGTTTGTATTAGCTTATGACGGTATCAAAAGGTAATAAATTAACAAGTTGTTTTTTGATGTTTGACAAATTTTGTTTATACATGTCAAATAACCAAAAAAAGATATTGATCGTCCCTGGGATTTTGCTTATACAGAGAGTGACTTTAGGGGAAATTTTGTTATACAAAGGGTCATTTTAGGGCAAAAAGCCTGAAATTCGAACAGCCAAATCTAGATCGATTGTCCCTGTAATTTCAAGATCGTCCCTGTAATTTCAAGATCTTGATCCTCCCTATGATTCCACCGGTGAATAAGATATGGACGGGTGTGTGAGGGAGGAGCAACCGGTGTGTATTATGATGAAATCATGAGAGAGCGATGAAGGTAAAAGGGACGGTGAAGTAGGGACGAGGGAGACAATGGAGAAAGAAGGGGAGGAGCTTTACCAGAGATAGGATTGTTACCGTAGATGGGGAGTATGCGGCTTGATAATGGAATAGGACGCCGATGAGGGTGGAGAACGGAATGGAGCTTTACCATAGGATAGGATTGTCATCGTAGGAGAGAAGGTTTATCAGGGTTAAAAAGTAATTTTTGGTTTTCAAATCTAATAAATTGTTTCTGATAAGTTAGAAAAGAGTAACTTATCAAAAACTTCTTATTACCGGTTTGACACTAGTATAAGCATTCTCTTTTTTCTCCATCCAAACATTAGAAAGTGTTTATCACCGATACCACACTTGAATAAGTAATAAGCACTTTAAATAAGCAATCTCAAACACCCCCTTAAACAAAAAAAACAAGCATTCTTAATACCAAAAACGTCTGACCGAATCAGACTTCAAAGGTATTAAAAGCTTAATATAAAAAAAAAAACAAGCTCTTAATATTTATGAGGACCGTAAGAGTTTTTCAGCTCTTATCTAAAAAACGGTCTGAAAATAAAAATGTGCCATTAATTTATTAGCGAGCCTTCCTTTTGGGGGATAAAAATAATATACGGTTTATATCTCCTCAGGTTTATAAGTAAGGATTTTGTTTACTGCGATAATATCATTCACGTTAATCCTTCTGTGTGTGACATAAATATAAATAACTTGTAATAATCGGGTCTCATTTACTCGGGCTTATGCCTTTAGAGAAAAGTTGCCATAAATAAAATAACGCAGATCTATTTAAGAGTTTTTTTATATTATATGTTTAAGGAAACATTATTTGAAGCATTTAATGTGCATTTAATGAGTTATTTCTTAAAGTATATCAATGTTGGGTTAAAGAGAATAATATATATGGAAAGGCTATATTAAAAGAGATAGAGTATCATTTAATGAAGGTCGTATATTTTAATAACCATGTTCACATTATATGTTTCTGATCGTATGCCCTTAAGGCATGTGATAGAAAACCTATATGTTTAAACAGTTAAAAATCATTTTATCAGTTTACTTGTTTCATAATAACTGATTGAATGTGAGATAACATCTTGTTGCAGTCTTCCAAGCACTCACTTAATGATTATTGTCGTGTTTGGTATAGTACCTTTTGGTAATGAAAGGACAAGCATGGTAACTCGTGATATTAAGGATTCATCTGTAGCATCAGTTTAGAAAAATGATTTTGGAAATCTTATGAACTTGCTTTTGGAATATTTTTCACTATAGGAAACTGTGTTTACAAAGGTTTGAAACAAGTCAAATGCATATCAGATGCCTACACACATGATCCTCTTGTCATATGGAATAAATCAAGCTGCCCTTGTCGAAGAGAACAACACATTTTATGATAGGAAATAAACATAGTGGACCTCGTACCAATGAAGAAGTTTTGGTACGAGATAATGAAATTTGAAAACTTGGGGGACTAACTTGCATCCATGTACAAAGTTGTGTAATCAAAAGTAAGAAATCATCGTCTTCGTTAAAATAATCTAATGACGAGTAAACAAGTTGGGTGCTTATTATGAGTAGACATGGGTCAAACCATACCCACAACCTCGAAATCACAGGTTAAGTATAGTTCAGTTCAATTAACCAAAACCAAGCATCCATACCATTGGTTTACTAAGACCTCCACTACCCCACCGTGGAACCCAATCGTCAAATGAAACTTTATCTAGTTTTGATGGATCCCCAATTAAGAAGCAAAAGGATGATCTAAAAGGGGGTTGTCTTGTTATTATGATGAAAAGTCTGTCCCAGGCCAAAGATGCAAACGACCACAACTATTTATGATCGAAGAAGTGACTCAACTAGTCAATCATGACATTGGTCACCATCAAACAATACAAGTATCAGATAAGTTGAAATTTTCGATTCAATTTATAGAATTTACAATCAAGTAATGGGATTTTAGTTATAGTTTCTATCAAAATTGAAGTAAATTAAACGACCTATCTCATGGTATTACAATCCTCTATTCGTTAGGTCACGAATGAATGTAGGTAGGATTTTCTTGAAGTATATAATATTTATATACAAGAAATGAGAATCACACACACACACACACATACATCTCATTTTTATGAGGTTTGAACCGTTGACCTTTTTAGGTTGGGTTAAATATCCCTAGACCCAAAGCCCTTGGTTATTAAACGTTGTTAATGTGCAAGTTGATTTCTCATTTCATTGTTCATGTAAATACATCAATAGTGGAAATGAGAATTAAAGTTGAGGGATTATTGGTTAAGATGAAGTGAGTATGTGTAATGTAGACTCTTAGCGGTTAGATTGATGATCATTTAGATGAATACTGGTTTAGATGATTTGAACATTGTACAATACATTTGCATAGTTAAGACAATAGCGATAACCATAAATTTTAAAGTAAACAAAGCCAATTAACCATCAATCACCGACTATGGGGAGAATGAAATTTTAAACATTAATAAGTTATCTGGTAACATCTGCAAGACTTGAAGAATTCTCAACGATCTTATATGTATTTGTATAACTTTTGGAGTTCGACGACTAATTTGAATGAATCATTTCTCCCTACACGTTGTGTGTGTGTGTGTGTGTGTATATATATATATATATATATAAAAGTGAGACAAAAAAAATGGTTTTAGAGAATACAACTCAACTTGCTAGTTGAACACAAATAGTAAAGGACCAACCACAAAGGTGGTGCCTGATTGGTTTGAGTTTGGCTCAAAAGGTCAAAAGTAAACCACAAGGGTGGTGCCTGATTGGTTTGAGTTTGGCTTTAAAGGTTAAAAGTATCAGGGGGGTCTCAAGTTCAAATATAAGGAGGAATAAAAATCTCCTTGTGACCACATATGTTCAAATGCCGTGACTCCGGGCTATCTGCAAAGCAGGTAGTCGCCTTGGGATTAGTCGGCTCGCATAGAGGGTTGGATATCCAGGTTAATAAAAAAAAGTCAAAAATACCAGGAGGTTCCAGGTTCAAATCTAAGAAGGAATAAAAATCCCCTTGTGACCACGAAGATTCAAATGCGGTGACTCCAGGCTATCTGCAAAGCAGGTGGTCGCCCTGGGATTAGTCGGCTCACATAGCAGATTGAATATCCAGGTTAAAAAGAAAAAGAATTGTAAAGGACCGATGTTGATAATCTGGATTTTTGGAGGATGAAATATGGCAGGGACCAAATTTGCAATTAACCCTACAATTACAAACAACAATCTATATATATTGGCTCTCAGTTAGGCGGTGTCTAAACCAAATACATCAATGGCGGAAGGCAACATTTAGATACAGCCAGGGAGAAGACCTGGAAGGAGACCAGGGGGTGGAACATCCCAACGCACACTTCTTCCCCTTCGCCATGTCTCTCACCTTTCCAACTCCATATCCTGCTGGTATGCATCACTATCACCATGATCATCATGTGTTTATTCGTGCGTGCGTTTTCCTACTGTTGATTGGTGTTTTTGCAGGTACTGTGACTTCAAGTCGTCAGTCTTTAACGAACCTCTCTTCCGTTTCGGACGGAAATATTCCAGGTCTACCCGGAACTGTTTTCTGTACCCCCCCACGTGTTGCAAAGTTTTAACAGAAAAATTCGAACCTAGGTTCACTTACTTTTATCAATTTTACTACTGTTCTTGTATAGGAATTTCAGGTAGGGTTTGAAACATGTAATCGGAGGCTTGGAATAGGAACTAGAGCTCATTTATTTTGTTCAAAATTCGAATTGATTTTTAAATTTCTTTCCGATATCAACTCAAAGCTTCTTTAAGTCTTGAGCCGAGGTTACTGAAAATCTTGAGCTGAGTTTATTTTGTTAATTTTCTGGATATCTGAATTTTTCCTGTTCATAGTTTTGGACACGAATTTTCAAGTTGAGAATCGTATTTCACACGTTTGTTTATTAGATAAAAGTTAAAAAATTATATCCCGTTTAGAATTTTAAATGAGAGAAGAGAGTACATCATGGTATACCAGTAAATGTTGGAACATGGTAGTATTTATTACTATCACTTGTTTGGCTTTGTCCCAATAGGAGGAGTGAAGAAAGTATTTTTACCTTATAGAATAAAATGCATTTGAATTATTTGGTCCTAAGACTTAACGATAGTTAACTTTTTTGTTAACTTTTGGTTAACATTTTTCAGTTGTTTTTGGAGGGAAACCGAATTGGGTATGAATCATTGCAAGTTCGTGAAGGGTTGCGTCTATTCATGAAAGGTTGCACCTTTTGGGACCTTATAAATATTTGGTATTTGCCTTTCTTTTTAGATAATAATTTTCTTTTCAATCTTCTTCACTAAGTCACTCTATACCATGATCATGAGAAGGACTCGTAGGGTCGTTGCCTACGGTTCTTAGATTTGAGGAGATCCTGGGAGGGAGTTAGCCTAAATCATCAATGACGTAGTGGGGGTTAATATTCCTTAAGGATAGTGATATAATCACGTCCTCGTTTTTCTGTCCATATGCTACTGATTAAACAAACTTAAGGAATATTATCATGGATGCTTCAAGTACGATGCTGAAGATGATAGTCAAGATTCAATCAAACTTGACATAATGGATGAAATGAATTTTACCCGTTGGAAGGAGAAGATGAAGTTTCTCTTGACTGTTGCAAAAGTATATTATGTTTTGGAGACACCACAAACTGCTGTACTGAATCAAGAGGAGCAAAGGCAACGTGAAAATGATGACATGTTATGTAGAGGATATATTCTACAAACCCTCACTGATCGTCTGTAAGATCTCTACACACCTATGACATTTGCAAAAGAAATCTGGACCGCTTTGGAGGAGAAATACAATGCCGAATGGAAGGAGCAGATAAGTTCATAACCTTTTAAGTTCTTTGAATTTACTATGAAAGATAATGTTTCAATCATGGACCAAGTCCACGGATTTCTGTTACTTGTCTCCAAATTCAAAAATATCAACATAGAAATTCCAGATAAATTAGTGGTTGGGGCAATCTTTACTAAATTGCCCGCCTCTTGGAGGAATTACAGAAAATAAAAATTGATGCACACTTCAGAAGATTTCTCTTTGGATCAAATTCAAAAACATTTACGAATTGAAAAGGAAACTTGTATTCGTGAAAAGAATTTAGATGGCGCATCTACTTCTAGAGTTAACTATGTTGATTCTGGAAGAATTTGAGGCAAGAAAAGGAAGGCAGATTCATCCTCTTATACAAACACTTGCAAGAAATCCAAAAGGCCTTTATCTGAAACCACTTGTTATAAGTATGGTGAAAAAGGGCACGTGAAGAAATTCTACAAGAATTCTAAGAAGAAAGTTGATCAAGGAAACAAGAAGAATGGAAGTGGAGATGCAAACATAGTTGAATTGTCAGAACCTATGACTGAAATCACTGCTATGGTTTCGAAACTACATATCTCCATGATTCAAGAAACAAATATTGCATCTTTTACCATTTCTGATGATTGATGGTGCGATTCTGGTGCGATGGTGCATGTTTGTACAAATCTCTATTCAAGGACTACAAGGAATCACAAGAAGGACATGAAGTGATGATGGGCAATAATCATACTTCAAAAGTCCTTGGCACGGGTTCTATTGAATTAGCTTTCACTTCTGGGAAAAAAGTTATACTCAAAGATGTTCTTCATGTTCCTACTATTAGGAAGAATTTGGTTTTTGGCTATAAGTTGTGTAAATTTGGTACAAGAGCTGTGATAGAATCTGATAAAGTGATTCTATCTAAAGCTGGTGTGTTTGTAGGCAAATGTTATGTTGTCGATGAGATGTTCAAACTAAGTATCAATAAAATTACTACTTCTACTTTTATCGTTGACTTTATTTTCTGCAAATTTTAATATTGAATGTTCATCTTTTAGTTTATGGCATCATAAACTAGGACATATAAATTATAGAACAATGAAATGCATGTCCAAACAAGGAATTATTTCTTATAATAATGATCACAATGGAAAGTGTGAAATATGTGTTCAAGCAAAAATGAAAAGAAAACATTTTCCTAAGATTGATAAAAACACAACAATTCTTGAGTTAGTCGGATATATGCGAATTGAATGGATAGCTAACTAGAGGAGGGAATAGATATTTCATACTTCCATTGATGATTGTTCTAAATATACTTATGTGTATTTACAAAAATCTAAGGACCAAGCTTTTGATGCTTTCAAAAGATATAAGGCTGAAGTAGAAACTCAAAAGGGTAAAAAGATTCAAATAATTAGAAGTAATAGAGGTGGAGAGTTTTTTTCCACATAATTTTCTTCCTGTTGTAAAGTCATGGTTTAATCCATCAAATGATGGCTCCATATACACCATAACAAAATGATGTAGCAGAAAGGAAGAATGGGGTTTTGCAAGATATGCTCAATGCTATGTTGGCGAATGCAAATCTACCAAATAATTTGTGGGGTGAAGCACTACTCATGTCTTGTCATGTAAGCAATAGAGTAATCTCAAAGAAACTCAAAGTAGCTCCTTATGAAATCTGGAAAGGTAGAAAACCTAATACAAGTTATTTCAAAGTTTGGGGATGTTTGGCCTATTATTAAGGTTCCTTTACCTAAAATATCAAAACTTGGACCCAAGGCTTTGAAAAGTGTATTTGTGGGATATGCAGAAAATTCAAAGGCATATCGCCTTTTGGATTTAGATACCAATGTTATTGTTGAATCAAGGGATGTGGAATTTTTTTAAACATAAATTTCAACATGATTCAACAAAGTTGCCCCACAAGGTATTCCTACTCCAGAAATTGGTTCTAATAATAAGAGACAATTGCCTGAAATTTCTAGTGCACCTAGAAGAAGTGAAAGAGCCAGAAAAGATCAAAATCTAAGTCCAGATTTTTATTGACTCTCAAGCCATTGTGTTTCTAGTTGAAGGAGATAGGTACAATATAGTCTTGAATACCTATTCTTTTACATGTAGAAGATGCACCAAAAACTTATCGGGAAGCTATGACTTCTAGAAATGCTGCATGTTGGAAGGAGGCAATCGATGACGAGATGGATTTTCTTATATCCAATAATACTTGGGAAATCTCAGATTTACCTCCCGGTTCTAAGGCAATTGGGTGCAAGTGGGTATCTAGAGTTAAGTTAAATATTGATGGCTCTGTTCAAACCTTCAAGGCTAGACTAGTAATACAAGGTTTTAGTCAAAGACAAGGAGTAGATTACTTTGATACATATGCCCCAGTAGCTAGAATTACTTCTACTAGAATACTCTTTGCCTTAGCTTCTATTCATAAATTACCTATACGTCAAATGGATGTAAAAACAACTTTTTTGAATGGGGAATTAGATGAAGAAGTTTACATGAAACAACCCGAGGGATTTATATTGCCCAGAAATGAAAATAGAGTATGTAAACTTAAGAGATCTTTATATGAGTTAAAACAGGCACCTAAAAATGGCATGATAAATTTGATGCTGCTATATTTTCTAATGGTTTTTTTCATAATTCATCCGATAAATGCATTTATTCTAAGTTTACTCAAGAATATGGTGTTATTCTATGCCTTTATGTAGATGATATACTTATAGTTGGAACCAATATGCAAGGTATAAATGAAACTAAGATGTTTATGTCTTCAATTGAAAGATTTGAATGAAGTAGATACCATATTGGGCATTAAAGTACAAAGGCATAAGGGGGGTTATATGTTAAATCAACGTCATTACATTGATAAAATTCTTGATAAGTTTCAACACTTAGACATTAAAGAAGCAAATACCCCGTATGAAACATCATGTAAGTTAAGTGAGAATAGTGGTAGGGCTATAGCACAACTTGAATATGCAAGTGCCATTGGTTGTCTTATGTATGCTACTCATAGTACTATACCGGACATTGCATTTGCAGTTTGTAAACTTTCAAGGTTTACTAGTAATCCGAATAAAGACCATTGGAAGGCCATTGGTCGGGTTCTAGGATATCTTAAAAGAACCAGAAATCTTGGTTTGTACTATGAAGGTTTTCTATAAGTACTTGAGGGTTATTCGAATGCTAGTTGGATTACGGATGGAAGTGACAATAATTCCACAACCGGTTGGATTTTCACCCTTAGTGGGGGTGTTGCTTCTTGGGCTTCAAAGAAACAAACATGTATTACTCATTCCACCATGGAGGCTGAATTTTTGGCCTTGGCTGCCGCATGTAAGGAAGCAGAATGGCTTAGAAGTTAAAAATATGCTATTGGATATAGAGTTGTGGCCACAACCAATGCCAGCCATTTCCTTAAGCTGTGATAGTGAGACAACCTTATCTAGGGCCTATAATAATATTTACAATGGTAAGTCTAGACATATTAGTCTTAGACATGCTTATGTGAAACAATTAATTTCTGATGGAATTATTACTATTGTTTATGTACATTCTTGTAGAAATTTAGAGGATCCAGTTACAAAAGGTCTTCCAAGTGACATGATTTTTGGAACTACAAGTGATATGGGTTTAAAACCCATTGATTGAAGTTGGCAATAACGAAACCCAACCTATACTTGGACTTAAAATCTACTTATAGGTTCAATGTGGTAAAAACAAGTTATTGATCACCACCTTAGACATTAGTTCACTAAACTAATGAGTAGTTTTTTAGGGTGAGTTTTATACTCTTAATGAACTACTCCTTTGGTAATAAAAGGGGATTCACCTATATAGACACAAGGAGTGGTGCCACTCCAGTATAAAGCAAATGCTTTGCTTTTGTGGGTGTCTATGAAACTGGGACGAGCACATGTCCATAATAGTGCTCCCTTATTCATGATCATGGGAAGACTTGTCATGTGTGTTATCTCTCCGATTCTAACTTATGGAATCATGGCTCAAATGCTTTAAACCGCCTTAGATTCTGTTGGACTATTTGAGAGATATACACTATATTAAGGTTCAAAGCAAAAGCTACCTTGATTTAAGCATGAAAGTCGGATGCTTGTGATAAATCCTAAGTGGGGGATTGTTGGAACATGGTAGTATTTATCACTATCACTTGTTTGGCTTTGTCCCAATAGGAGGAGTGAAGAAAGTATTTTTACTTTATAAAATAAAATGCATTTGAATTATTTGGTCCCAAGACTTAATGACAGTTAACTTTTCCATTAACTTTCGGTTAACATTTTTCGGTTATTTTTTGAGGGAAACCGAATTGGGTATAACCATTGCAAGTTCGTGAAGGGTTGCGTCTATTCATGAAAGGTTGCACCTTTTGTGACCTTATAAATACTTGGTATTTGCCTTTCTTTTTAGATAATAATTTTCTTTTCCATCTTCTTCACTAGATCACTCTATACCATGATCATGAGAAGGACTTGTAGGGTCGTTGCCTATGGTTCTTAGATTCGAGGACGTCCTTGGAGGGAGTTAGCCTAAATCCATCAACGACCTAGTGGGGGCTAATAATCCTTAAGGATAGTGATATCATCACGTCCTCGTTTTTCTATCCATATACTACTGATTCAACAATAAACATATGTGTTGCATAGTTTTTGACATGAGATAACTATAGTCAGACTTCTTGTTCACTTTCGGAAATTGGAGCTTGAACTTGTTGCTTACTCATTCCCTCGATGGTTTCTAGGTGGTTGAGAATATGGTTTTCGGTTGGGATGGGTTTCAGCCTGACCACTTTGATAGGAGTTCGTGGTAAGAAATCACATTGTTACCAAATGTTCCTTCCCTACCAGAAATATGATGCTTTGCTTTTATTTTACTGTTCATCAGATTATCTTATTGGAATCAGCTAGGGCTTTGAATCTGTATGATGGGATCCCATGGCTTCACAGTGTTCAAGATGGATCTATCTTGGAATTATACTCTCCGGTAGGCATTTGAACATTTTAGTTACCTTGAGGGTGCAGCTGACGTTGTATTTTCAGTTCTTTGAACCATTCTTAAGTGAAATGAAGTAATGTTTTTTGCTTGTCCTGGGAAGCATGTCATGACTTTTGCATGCATCAATACATACTGAACTAACTGAGCAATAAGTTTCTTACCACACCTCCAAATCAATAAGCTCATTATCTACCTTCATAGAGTTGTTGCCACTTGCTACGTTCAGGTTAATAGTAATGCATGATTGATTCATTTTTAAGTTGTATTAAACAGGAGAATGGGAGATAATGGATTGTCAGTTAATTCAGGAGATTAAATTGGGTCGAGATTAAGGTTTAGTTAAGGTCTAATGGCTTAGTTATCCAGGCCAAGAGACCCATCTAATGCATTCCAGATTTTATGGTTTTTTCTTGGTATAGTTGGTAATATACATTAATCAACCCAATGCATATATACATGGTATGGAGCCTCTAGGTGAGAACACGGACAACCTTCAAGAGTTTTGCTCTTGCCGTTGATAACCCTTACTCATTGGTGGGTACCTGGTTGTTGGTAGCTCCTAACTGCCTCCAGTAGACCAGACTCCAAATTTGATCTCCTTAAACCTTGTACCATTGCCTCTTGTTACTTTGAACTCCTCAACATCGCCTCCTGAAGCCCTTAGGGATGTAATTGTTGATGGTAGTGTTTGTATTTTGTATGTACATTCCCATTGAATTTTGTGGTGGTGTTATAGCATTCTGTAATTGTTACTTGTTCGTATGATGCAGGTTTTTAAATATAGCATATCAGTCGCTGATGTTGGATATATGTGTATATCTTCTATCATATCTGTATCGGTACATGAACTTGGGCACGCCCTTGCTGCTACAAGGTTATTATTTCCATCTCATTCTTCTTTTGCTGTTAGTCTTGATTTAGCCTACCTGGTAGGGTACTTTATAATGTTGTATGTGATTAGCTCTTATTATAAATCATTTGATGCAAGTATTATACTGCATGAACAAGCCCATATCCTTGCTTCCTTAGGAAAGTGTTCTGTCAAAATTTAATGCGGGAGAAAAATATTACGTCTTTAAACAATTGCTTTTTGTGCATCGTTACATTTTTGTGATTTCCATTACCATGCTGCTGCTGATGGGCTTGTAGGTTCCACATATTTAGGGAACACTATATATCTTGAGGTTTATGCTAGTGTAACTGGTACTATTATCTACAAAGGGAGGGTCAAGTTCAGCTTTGAGGTAGAAAGTCAACTTTGACTGAATGGACAAAAGACATTAAAAATGAAACCCTAGGGTTGATACTTCCTAAGCAGCTTCAGTCTCAGGTAGACACATGTCTATCCTGGGAGAAATGATGTGGGGTAAAGGTCAGAGGGTGACTGGCAAATACAAAAGCTCAAAAGTAATTGGGAATCGCTTCTGGTTATATTAACCTCAGACTGTTAACAACTTAATCCATAAATCCAGGGTGCACATTAGATGAATTGCATGGCGCAGTGAGGATCATCTTTAGATTCTTGCTGGGAGAAGCAGTAGATAAAAACCAGTTGGTCTATATGGTACTGTGGCATTTCATATCATTCTACATATACCTATAGTGGGATCAAGATAATTAGTTTGGACCATCATGAAGGGTGTTTGGTTAAGGCACCTATCTGTGTATCATCAATGCATGCAGGGGCATCTTATAATCTGGCTGTTAAATGTTGGTTGCATGCTAGACATTTTGTGAGGATGAGTCCACTGTTCTTGTTAAGAATGTAGCAGAGCATTTCGAGACATGGCTGTGAGCCAAAATTGCAAACAGAAGGCGACATACCATACTGTACACAGGTTAAGGTCTCCCACATAGAATGTGAGACCAGATAAGTGTATGTCCCATTGTATGGTAAGTGCAATGCTTAAGGATATCATATTAGTCCGAGTAAAAGAGATCAGCATGAATTTTTCCATTCATCTATAAATACATTCTGCACTGTTCTTGCATAGCAAATATTTAGTATAGATCTCTACAACAATGGACACCAGCTAAAGACTTTGTATATTAGACGTGTTTAATAAAAACCATCAAATTAGCTAACTACCCCCAAGATTGCAAACCTTTTGTAAAGCAATGATATATGCATGATAAAATGACTAATGAAGCTATCAAAAAGTGGCTGGTTTCTTCAAATGGTTACTTACCACTGGTCTATTTTGCATTTCCATTTGATGCTTCATGGAACATGCTTACTCAAATGTCCTTTGTACATGTTTACCTGGAATAACTTCTTAAATCCCAAGGTTCACCCATCACAAGGCATATTCACATCTAATTATTATTTTGGATTCCCATTTTACCCTTCATTATGGGGAAAAACATGGTATTGTTCATTTAAAGAATCAAACCATTTTTTCATAATTCAGCGTTATATGTGCATTTTAATCTATCAAAATCAGTCATTATTCAGTACTGGACACTCAATAATAACCAAAACAAAATGTAAAACTTAATGTATTCCAATGGATTTTTTAAATATTTAAAGAAAATGAAGGAATAATCTTAAAAATATAGCAAGTCAAGCGTCTTCTAGGAAACCACCTCTATACCTCTCGAGTCAAAGGAGAGGTTTGTGTACATCTTACCCCTAGGACCTATTTTCGGGTTGGATATGCTGGATTTGTTGTTTAGTTTGGTTTGGTTTAGATGCTTCACTATAAAATGGAACGATTTGAACAGGGGAATGCAAGACTCAGGGATGCCATACTTTAATGGGATTGGTTGACGTGTGGGGAATTTGGGGGGGGGGGGGTGTGAAAATTTTTGTTGCTTGATCATTGACAAAACAAGAAGTGTGAGATTCAAAGTCAGAACCTCTAGATTATTGGTAAGCTATGCTGTTACAGCGGTCACGACCGTGATTTAATATAGCGGTTATCGCAATGGTAAAGCGGTGGTATGGCGGTCCATAAAATAATTAGAATTATATATATATATATGTATACACGTATACAGTTTAAACATCAAAGCATAGTATGTATTCACCAAAAAATATACAGTTTAAACATCAAAACATCAACTTAAACAGGTCAAGCTTTAAACAGACGAAATAGCAAAAAAAAATTGTATAATTCCTGAACCCGTTGACTGTTAAACAGAAGATGTAGGTTCAGAAGGCTGGTTAGCAAACCCGTAGATTGTTTTCCTCGTGAAACGGTGGAAGAACCAAAAGAAACCTTGTCGTGGTACTTGTGGAATGGTTTAAGGACCTAAAGAAGCTTATTGTGATCCTCGTGGTGGAACTTGGAAGAACCAAATAAGCTAAAAGTGAAAAGACTGCCGTTTTTAGCAAATAGCGGCTATAGCATGGCTATTTCCGCTATTTTGAAGCCAAATAAAAGCTAAATAGCGGTATTTAGCGGCGATAATAGCGGAACCCCTATTCTGATCTCTAATTACTCCCAAGAGCGCAAACCGCTATTGCACCATGATAGCACCGGTATTAACAGCATAGCTGGTAAGCAAACTCTAAGCATCTAACCACTTAAACAATCCAGCAGGCAGAAGTTGAATTTATCGTTCATCTGTTCTTGGCTGTTAGATTTTGCCTTGTTAATTGCTTCAATTGCTTGTAGTAAATAGACAAATTTTATCTGCTGTTCTCATTGGACTGGACAAATTATTTCTTAATTGTACATTATTTTGATTTTTTTTATATGGTGGGTAAATTTACGAATTGTGTAGAGAATGGATCTTATGACTGATCCTGTAGGCATCCATTTTCTGGGTAGCAGCGAGGGCATACAAATTGAGTACACTGCCCTGTTTTTGGCAGTTATAGTTCCAGGTGCTCTGGTGGCTTTTAATAATGAGATGCTGCAAATGATGCCATGCGTAGCTACACTTAGAATATACTGTGCTGGAGTCTGGCATAATGCAGCAGTAAGTTAACATGATAAAAGACTGCATTATACTATTGTTTTTAGCATAAGATGATCTTCTTTTCTCATCACATATCCAAAAGAATATGCTGATTACATTCCACTTTTGCAGTTATGTGTGGTTTGTGCATTGGCCGTGTTCTTGTTACCGCTGATATTATGTCCACTTTACTCACATGGTGAAAGCCTCATGGTACTTGAACATGGATACTTGCTTGAAGGCTGTTTATGATCTATGGCCAAAATCATCAAAATACAATGAAGTTTCTTGGTTCCTATTTGGTGTAATGATGGACTTTTTTTTTCTCAATTAGTGTAACAAACATTTAATTATTTCTATCTCCTCCCCATTTTGACCAGTAACCGGTAGATTTTGTAACTATTGATGATGTGAATGCCAAGTTGTAAGGTAATGACGGCAACTGTTTGTGTACAGAGGTAAAGATCCTTTGTGAATTCTCAAATGTATATATTTTATTTGCTGTGAAGGGGAAGTTCATTTAGGAACCGTAACAACCAACTATTCATGACGAATATACATGAATATTATTCATCATGAATAGTTGATTCTCATGGTTCATAAATTATTTATGGTTCTCAAATGAACCTCCCCCTTGTTGTGCATTAAAGGGAAATGCAAAGGAATTAAAACTGATATTTGAAAATCTGCATTTTTTTTATTGACACAGGATGAATCTTGCTCAACTCCAATCCATATGCCAGGTCTAGCATGGGCTGAAATCACATTTTCAAGACCTTACTCTCCTGAATGTCAGCGAGTTGGAAATAAGATGCACTCAAGTTATAATAATTCTGGCTCTGGAGAAAATAGCTGTAGTGGGACTTTTGTTTTCATAGGTGACATGATGTCGATGGCACGTTCCATTTGGTTAACAGAATATCAATCTCGTTGGTTGTATGGTGTTGCATATATTCCAGCTGTAGTGGAGAAGATGTTGGTAAACACCTTTCATGTCTCGTTGATGCTAGTTGTTCTCAACAGCTTACCGGTATGTGCTCTCATCTGTGATTCATCCATGATTTTAAAAGGATTAATGTATTGCTGGTGAAGCCTGAGACTTCATGGTGCTCATGCCTGGTTAGCCTTCTTATAAAGTGTTGACAAACCAGATAGAACCAAGACTTTAGTAACTAATTATGGAAACTTAATGTTAAAACCATTCTTTCAATTCCATCATGTTAAAGTAATTAATACTTAATTACCATGTCATAAGTCCTAATTTGCTGTTCTCTACTAAAAAAAGCAGCACCCATTGGACACCAATCACTATTATATCACCTACAACAAGTATAGCCTTTCGAAAGAGATTTCCCTTATGGTTCTACTAAAGCGGAAAGAGGTGACAGGTGTAGCCGTGTAGGGTTGACAATTTAAGTAGTTGACCGAAGATGGAACGAGCACATAGTTGCATTGCAATGTGCTTTTACTTTCAATATTGAACATGTAAATAGATACAATTCGTCTTGCTTTTGTAACACAAACCAAACGAACTCAGTTGTATCTCACTCGAAAGTAGGGTCTAGGGTGGGATGTACACAGACCTGCCCTCTAGGCTCTACCCTATAGGGTAGAGCAGCCTTTTCCGTGAAGACCCAACTGCACACAACACATTCATTTGATGATGGGATTAAATATAGAAATCCTTGGGTGAAGGTTTTAGAGTTTGACCATATGCTTGTGTGTGCTTTTTGTGCAGGTGTACCATCTTGATGGGGAATCCATTCTAGAGGTGGCTCTTTGCTGCTTCGGTTCCTTGACCCCGACCTTACGAAAACTGGTTCTTCAATCATCTTTACTAGCAGGAACACTTATTTCTTGTATTTTCATTTTCAGGATCTTATGCTTGTTATTTCGTAAACATCTTGTTAGTAGCGCCTTGTTTTTTATACGTGAGCCTGGCACTTGTCCTACATATACGACATTTTCTTCTGTTATTTCAAAGTTTTATAGAAGACACACGATTGTATGTATTTTTTTAGTTTTGTTTTTTATCAAGTCCGTCTTGCTTCAACAGTTGCGATTGAATGATCGAATTATGTTTAAAAAAAATTATTATCTGAATTTCAAATGAAAAAAAGAATTAGAACAAGGATCTTTGTTAAAAACTTTAAAAATAAACAAAACCAACTTCTAATCGATATTATGACTCTAAAAAACAAAGTTCTTTTTTCGATGTAAAAGTATATGTCGTACTGATATACCAACTCAGTCTCCAATAACAATAAATACAAACCAAACAAACACAATATGTTTCATACTTCTAAGTTCTAAGTAGAGTCTAAGATGCAAATCAAGTAGAAAGACAGTTTTCATCTCAATACCAACAAGGGACTTTTAAGTTGTCATGATATGTGGTTACTATGAACATCCAAGGCTATTTTTGTTCTTCATCTTTATTTTTAATTTTTTTTTGGGGGGGGGGGGGGGGTGCTGAAGAGCAATTTGATCATATCAAGTTATGCAAATACAAAGGCCTGTCAAAATTATTACATTACAGAGGGAAACATTTTCAAAATTTTAAAGCTTTTCCATTTCCAGCAATCTATGAATGCAATGAAATTGAGTGTGTTTGTAAAATCCCCTTGCTGCATCTCATGATACAAAACAAAACCAATGAGTCCCATGGATGGATGGCTATAAATGAGATTCAGAAAAAATTGTATCTATCCTCCTCTGTTGTTGCATCCTCTATGCTATTTTGTAGCCAAATTGGAAAGGGTTCGAATAACCACCAAATTATTGTATCTGCAAAAAGTGACGTCTCCTCACTCACCGTGTCTATCCAAGAACTTCTCTATCACCACCGAAAATGCAGCAAACCCTGCACAACCGAAGCACGCTGCCTTCGGACCACCTATAAACCGCCAAACCACAACCGTCTTAGGATAAAAAAGGTATTTTGAAACCATACATTATCACACATTTCTGCATTAATATAACCATCTGTTCTTTTGCTTTAATAGAATTAGCTTTTACTGATGTTGGCATTAAAAAAGTAACTCATTTGATGATCAAGTTATTATTAGCAAGTGAAACAAGGCAAATTGAATGTTATATGTTAATCTGGACTAACAATTAGCATAGAATGCAGTATCTCTCCCCAAGGCTAATACTAGGATTGCAGGATTATGGCAAATAGTAGATATATGACCAGTGCCTAAAAAATTTGTACAATCTTCAGAAGAATACACAAACATGAAGGTTGATGTCTTTATACGGAAACTTCTTCAAGGTACCCAAAGCCTTCTTTCAATGTGAGACATATATTGTGTCCAACTTACTAGTTGAGATATTTACACATCCTGATAATATTCCATAGCTAGATAACACATGGATCACAATTAACCATCAATGTGTCGGCCAATGTCTCTTGATGATGATATTGATTTTTGGGGAATATGTATTCAAAGTTCCTTTACACGTTTGGATCGTCTTTTTGAGTTTAATTCCTAGGACTAGGACTATATCTATATTGGATTTTGTAAAACTTCATCTGCTTAAGAGTTACACCTTCAAAGCATGTCAGCTTTTCTTACGTAGTCTCACTCTTTTATTGCTTTCTCCATGTAGTGAAAACTCATCTGTGTTGGTAGTTCAGCTTTAAAACGTTACAGTAGAGAAGAAATAGGGCAAAAATCAGTCCATCGGGCTTAGTAAATAATAATATGTAGAATGGTTCAAGAAACACAGTTAATGGTTTTGAATCATCAAAATTCTGAAATGGGCTTTTTGAAGGGAAGCAAATATATGATTAACAAAAATATGGAGCAAGTACTACACACAATATACACTAGAATCAGACTTCAAGTGCAAACCCCATCCCATTTCCAACTCTTCACAGTTCACACCAAACCAAATTGGAATTGAAGATCTAAGAATCAGTCACAGAAAAAGTTCACTAGGTATTGCTCATGTATTTTTGGGTTATCTTGTTATGAGAGTTGCAAACAATCGGCTAAACCTTAGTAAGGCATCTCTAATTTATTATCTGTACTACATCATCCAAACCGTCAAAACCAATTCTTTCAAGATCTGTGCAAGGGGCATGCCCTGCATTCTACGTCATAGTCTGAGTATTAAGTCCAAATAAAACTCCATATCCAACATAGGAGTATGAAAAAACAGGATGGAATGAGTGCTAGTTTCTTATATTGAGTAACCAACATTTGAAGCACCCTAAAAATTTGTGAATCTTCTTTCCCGAAAATGCATGCAGTTTTCCTCCTGTGATTCAGAATCCCGAGGCAGCATTTGGCATTGCACTCATGCTTTTTAGGACTAAAAAAACAGTTCATCAGTTAACTTGCCTTAAGTACATTAACTAGAATTAAACCGTAGATTTGTGTCACCATGACAGCATGGCGGTAGCAAACCACCAAGACAGCACCATGTCATCCATATAAAGACAAGTATTTCACAATGTGCAACTTTTTAAAATACACTGAACAATAAAAAGAAATTCAAGCACGCAGCTACATTATCATTTAACCATCAAGCTTGAAATGTTTACTATTAGAACTTAGAAGCCACTGAAGCAAACCAGAACTCATCAAATGCCACAAATAAGAAAGTATCACTTTCTACTTGATCATTTCAGTTGTTAAAATTTACTTCTTAATCAAAATACTTCATATTACATTTGAAGTTTAAAAGTAATTGGTACTAAAAGTTAAGTGTTTATTGTTTTTATCAGAAACTAGAAGCGTGCTCGCGCAATGCAGCGAGATACATCGTGATTTTAATATTTTATGTTATTCTTTATCTCAGTCGATGTTATAATATGACTTTATGTGATTTTGAGAAAGTGATGATGTTTTTATTTTTGAATAAAATATATGTTTGAAGATATCATAAAAATTTGACAAAAATATATCGATATTAGTATCAAATTAACTATTT